AATGTCTCCACCTGACAAGCTTAACAATAGAAGTCCTCCCGTGCCAGACCATCTATAGAGGATCCATTACACATAGCAACCAGCACGTCAGCGCTACTGGTGACCCGGCACGTATCCCCTGCTCCGCCCAGACACCTCCCCTCTAGTTAATCGATAGTTTGAATATTGACATCATAACCAATCACTGACCTTTGGGGTTGGGCTACCTGGTAATCCGTTTGAGCCCACCCCCTCCCCTCACAGCCGAGACCTTAAAACATCTTGCACAGAGCCAAGAGGCTATCTTTCCGCTCTCCCTTCTTCATACCAACGTCCTCTTCCTGTCTGCTTAAACCTCTCTTGTCCCACTTGCTATACCAAACCCCTGATTACCGCTTTGCCTTCGTCTGCAGCTAAGGTCAATCCACGTGTTCCCGGCTGGTCTGGTCTCACGTGTTTCCTACCCCATTTTCTACCCCATCCGCCTCCCATCCCGCTGGAAGATTAGGAGCTACGCACACGACATAGGTAAATATATCATCCAGAAACCAACGATATTCCTGCTAATGCGATTGTGCTGAGATCTACCTTATTTTCTTAGTCCTTGTATGCTTGAGTGGTTTTATTATTATTCCTGTGTGCTTGGACAACATATTTAGTAAAGAAAGATTTGTTTAAACTTCTGTTTCGTCTCCTCATTGAAACGTAACGGCTTAGCCCATCCTGCGTATACACTTGATCTGAATCCCGATTATTAAACTGTTCCAATTGTCTCTCCTAAAGAGCAATTCGGCTAACAGATCTTTCCTCTCAAAACCCAACGGAAGAGTATCAACTGGGAACAGAACATCTACCACCTGACCTACAGTAACACTTCATGCTCCATTTCTTTTATCCTGGCCTCTGTTGTGTGCTGAACTTTTGAGTCAAAAATGTTGTTCCTTCAGGGTTTTCTAATAGATCCTTCGTCTTGGTCTTTGTAGAGCACTATGGCTCTTAACTGTTAATCCATTGCCACCTATGAAGTATGCAGCATCGTAACTGAATGCCCTCCCCGGCTGCTTTCACACAGATGATTTTCCCCATTTCTGCAGCCCAATTCATGTGTTTTCCCCCATTTCCACATGACATCATCTTGCATTTGTGCTTAGATCATGAACAGGCAATACTTTCCACAAACTTACTTGCTTTATTTGAAAACCATTTTCTAAAAGGAAGTGTTTCCCAGGCAAGATGCTCTCGGGTGAGTTTTTCCCCCCCAACGGGGAAGATACACCTTGTACTTAAATAAAAGGAAATGCCCCTTTCACTCCATTTATATGCATCTCCCCTTCGCTGTGAACTACCCTGTAGTTGCTAGTTGCAGTGCCTTGCATTTGTTCTTAGGAATGGGGCAAAGGCTCAGTGGTAGAGCATCTGTTTTGTATGCAGAAGGCCCCAGGTTGAATCCCCAGCCTCACCAGTTAAAATGATTGGCTAGTAGGTGATATGAATGGCCTCTGTCTGACACCCCAGAGAGCTGCTGCCAGTTAGAGTAGGAAATACTGGCCTTGACGGGCCAATGGTCTGATTCAGTATAAAGCAAGTTCATGAGTTAAACGCATCATTTTTGTTTCCCCCAACCTTTTATTTTGTTAGTATCCAGCCTAATGAAGAATTCTGGAGAACTCAAAAGCTTGCAAACTTGGTTAGGTTCATACACAGGATTTTTGAAGATCGTGGAGGAAAATAAATGATTCAAATCCCTACCTCCCGCAGCAGACTTCATGCTGTTCCTGGTGGTTCTCTGCCTGTCAAGGAGCAGAATACTGGGGGCATTTTAGACTGCGGGAGGGGGGGGGAGTCGCACTCTGCTGATAGAAATCAGCAATCAATTTTTGTGTGTGTGAGTTCAAGGGCTGTTCTGCATTTTCATTTTCCTTGCTTGTGCCTATTTCTTTGTGTGTTTGTGTGTGTGTGTGATGTTCTGCTCATGTTTTGCTCCTTCTAGTGGTTGATTCAATATTACACTGGTTTATTTCCAGCATTAAAACCTGCAGTTTAAATCTGCAGGGAGAGATGCCGGATGTAAATGGGTATGATATCAAATCAACCAGGAGAGAGAGAAAACCATGAAGAAAGGGGGGGGGGGATTAAAAGAAACAGGAACTTACAACCAAGGAAAATAAGAATGTGAAAAAGGATTCACAGTATGATGTTATTTTGGTTGATTGCAAGAAAAGGTATAACCTGGATTGTGGGTTTTGCTTTTGGATCTTTCTTTGGACCTGCAAACCCTGGTTGCTTAGTGGAAGAGAGCCATTTTCCAGCCCATTGCATAACATACTCTCCAAATGACTATTTTTAAGGTCTCAAAAGGATTTTAGCCTTCTTCTGAAGCCAACATTTAACTTGAGCAGGGGCGGTCCTTCCAAAGCGAGTGCTTTAATCTGTTTTTCTTGTAAAGAAATCCAATCTATTTTTCATGGACATTATCAGTTTTAGGTACATCGGGGGGAAAAATGATAAAAGTTCTCATTTGGCAGTAGGGTTTCCCCCTCAAATGGCATGGCCCCGCCCCCAGCGTGTGACGTCACTTCCGGGTGACGCACACGCGGCGCACGCGCACGAGGTTGACGCCGGCCGGGAGCCCCCCGCTCCCGGCCAAAATCTATTTGGCCACCCTATTTGGCAGATTGGACCAAAAGATATCTGGCTGGCCTCAACCAGGACCAGGGCCTTTTCTGACCTGGCTCTAGCCTGGTGGAACTCTTTGCCGAGTGATATCTATGCTCTGTCTGATCTGTTAAAGTTTCATAAGGCATATAAGGCACGGATGTTTTGCCAGGCCTTTGGCTGAGGCCAGCCTCCCCACTAGGGCTGCCAAATGCCCCCGGGGGCGGAATTCCCCCCGCTTTCAAGCCCCGATTCCTGCTCCCGCGGAATCGGGGCCCAGGGGAAACCCCACCCCAGCTGGGTGGTGCACACACGCACGATTGAGAAGCCGGTCGGGAGCCCCCCGCTCCCGGCACAAATCCATTTGGCAACCCCACTCCCCACCCTGATGACTGGATGCTAGCACTGCCATCTTGTTTCTAAAATGTTTAAATGTTTCTGAATGTTTCAAATTTTGTATTTTTAATGGCTTTAACTTATTTTACATGGTCACAAACCAGATTGTTGTGGACTGCCGTGAGCTCTGCGCAAGTGAGGAAGGGCTGTCAAAAAACCCTAATTTAATAAATAAACAAATGAATGTTTAACTTTATTTTAAAAAATAACCAGTTATTAAAAGTCTACCCATGAAAGACAATATTCAAAAAGAACAAAAATTACCCCCCCCCAAATCAGAATATCAAATATGAATTGTGATAGCTTAGCAAAGTTCAAAATTTCCACAGAATGTCCTTTTGATTCTAGTCTGGTCACTTTTTATTCCAGAAGGCATTCTTGCTAAGATATCACTGACAACAGTTTGATTCTTCATGCATTTTATTGTAGAGAAGAGCAGAAACGTGGACATTTTTGACCACCTGCCAAGTGTAATGTAACATTGTGACAATTTTATGCACTGAGATGAGAAACACCCGCCAAGCCCAAACACACCAGCTGGAGGCGTAGCACCCGGGGACAATCAGCTGCATGCGAAAGTGCAGAGCTTTCAATCTGATACAGGGCCAACAGTGGCCACGAAGAAGAAAGATGGGGGTCATATGAAAATGGTACTTTGGGTTATGCATTGAGCTCTGCTTATAGGAGAAATGCTTATTGCTTGGGAAACCACTGGCCACAAATGACAAGCGCTACTGCTGCAACATAGCTGGTGGATCTAAACAAGCTGCGTGGTTGCCAACCAATGGCACAAGCAAAATCACAGGAATACCAGTTCTAAGTTTCTATTTCTTTCAAAGAAGCTGGTCTCTAGCCTTCATGGCAATGGGAAATAACTTTCTGTCCAAGGATTAGCATTCAGAAATCTTTCATATAGGGAATCTGTTACTTTTTTTGGGGTCAGGAGACTGGGCATCTGAATCCCACATCCTTCTCCATAGACAAAAAGTCATTTTTTCCCTCTGTCTTTGCATGGTTGTTCATCTCCAGTCTCTTTATACTTATGATTCCCATAATTGCTATCCCTGCCAGTAAATCCTCTGTTCTGCACCCATCCCCCATTTGCATAACAGGTGGTCTAAAATTATAACGTAACATTGGTTGACTTTGCACATTGTGATTTCTGAACATGTGTTCTACCAGTCACATTTTGTTTTCTCATGCTAATACAGCTTGTTTATCAAATTGTCTAGAATGAGTTTACACTGAACGCTACCATGAAACAGGGTAATGAATGCATAAAATGGAAAAGGTTTTTCTTTAAAAATGTGACAAATATATTTGCAACAGCCAGCACAGTAATATTGCAATGAAAATGGTCACAAGTTTCTTGCAGTGTAATCCTAAACAGAGTTATACAATTCAGAGGCATAACTCTGTTTAGGACTGTGCTCTTAATGAATGTTGCAAAGAGAAACTAAAAAAAAAAAAATCTTTAATGCAGTCCCTACTAGTAAAGACTATGGATTTCTTCTATGCTTTGGAGATAATGGGTAGGAAAAATTAATAACAATACAAAGGTTATGTTTCATGAAGGTACAACTGTCTCAAGGGAAATCTGTGTGTGCACATGTGTAAAACATAGCAGTGAGTAGCACACACCTTGTTTGAAGGAAGTAATAAATTCACTGGAATGCAAATGCAAAACAGCATCAATGTTGTGAAAAAATGATTACATGACCACATCTGCATTCCTGTAATCTTGGTGGGAGCTCCAGTTTCTGTTGCTGCCAGCAAGTCCTAATCGCTTCCAAGACGTTGGCTTGGCATAAAGATTCATTCATGCATTCATGACGGGGCCTCCAACTCCAGGGTAGCAGACACCCAGTGGGGATGCTACTGCTCCAGGGTAACACACACCGAGTGGGGAAATTACTTCTACACAAGGTTCACTCCCGATGCCTACACCCCGAACACTTACAGAAGGGACACCAACAGGTGGGAATCCAACTGCTGGTATTCCTACAGTGGGCACACATCCTACATTTAAACCTCCCCCAATTCCAGGACATCCCCCCACAATTACAGGGCCACCTACAATCTTGGGAACAAAGCCTCCACCTCCATATGGGATGCCACCAGAAGTCCAGCCTCCAGAGACACCTTGCTGGCCCATATTACTGGCTGATCCTTGTGCACTTCTGGAACTATATCCCCTTCCTGAGTATTCTGCCCCTCCAGAGCCTTGACCCCCACTAGTGCTGCTCCTTGGGCAGTATTCACCACTTCTCGAGCTCCAGTTTCTGCGTCCTCCACTATATTGTCCACCAGACCCCCCTCCAAGTCCTCCACCATTTTCTTGGCCAGAGCCTCCACTGTCTCCTCCATGGGAGCCTCTACCTGACATTCTTCTCCTACGTCTTCCAGATTCTCCATCATTTCCTTCTCCACGTCCTCCACTGTAGTCTCCACCATATCCTCCTCCACCACTGTATCCTCCGCCACAGCTTCCACCATATCCTCCTCCACCACTGTTTCCTCCGCCAGAGCTTCCACCATATCCTCTGCCAGAGCTCCCACCATATCCTCCTCCACCACTGTTTCCTCCGCCAGAGCTCCCACCGTATCCTCTGCCAGAGCTTCCCCCATATCCTCCTCCACCACTGTTTCCTCCGCCAGAGCTACCACCATATCCTCTGCCAGAGCATCCACCATATCCTCCTCCACCACTGTTTCCTCCGCCAGAGCTTCCACCGTATCCTCTGCCAGAGCTTCCACCATTTCCTCCTCCACCACTGTTTCCTCCGCCAGAGCTCCCACCATATCCTCTGCCAGAGCTTCCACCATATCCTCCTCCACCACTGTTTCCTCCGCCAGAGCTTCCACCGTATCCTCCACCAGAGCTTCCACCGTATCCTCCTCCACCACTGTATCCTCCGCCAGAGCTTCCGCCATATCCTCTACAATAGCCACCAGCCATCGCTCCTCCATATCCTGTTCCACAGCCGCCACTCCAGCTCCTACGTCTTCCATATCCTCCATCATTTCTTCCTCCACTGTACCCACCACTGTAGTCTCCACCATATACTCCTCCACAGCAGTAGCTCCCACGTCTTCTGCATCGTCCAAATCCTCGTCTGCAGAAATCTGCACCATAGCCTAATCCACATACTCCACCATATCCTCCTCCAATTGGACCATATGCTGGGTAGCCAATGACATCTTCAGTATAGGGAGGCTTGACAACATCTAGAAAGGATAATATATACACAGAAATTTCAGGTTAAATGTAGAACTTTGGGTGAATGAAGTCATGTAAAAATTGGCTGCTGGATCAGACCAGTGTCATCCACTGCAACATTCTGTTTCACACAGTGGCCAGCCTGAAGCCTGTGAGAGGTTTATGGGAATAGTACAAACTGAGGCCAGCAGTACCTCAGAGACCAACAAAATTTCCCAGAGTATAAGCTTTCATGAATTAAAGTTCATTTAATCAGAGACAGAGGTGCAGGCATACATAGGGTTGCCAAGTCAGTCAGTCAGTCATTTATTACGGCAACAAGCCATAGAACACACATGCTTAAATATAACATTCATAACATTCATATAACTGAATTTAGGGCAGTAAAATAAAACTCTATAAAATACAGTTGAGTGTAATAAAGTAAAAGAAGAACATAAAACAGAGACTATTAGGCAACTATTATTATATATCTGATAGTGTATTTTGGATGCAGTAGCATGCTACGCAAAATTTTGCAACAGTTTCGGTAATTGTCCGGTTCCCATCAATTAATAATCGGTTACATTGCTCAGCACCTTATTGTCCCACCATATCTGTTATAAGAGGAGTAATATATTTGTCACGGATCTTGTTATACCAGTTACATCTGAGCATCATGTGCTCAATAGTTTCTGTCTCTCCTGAGCCGCATCGACAAATTCTATATTCAGTGGGGATCCTTTTGAATCTGCCCTCAAGCATCGCGGAGGGGAAAGCCTCACATCTGGCTAATGTGAAGGTTTTCCTAAACTTGTGAGTATCAAGCTGTGATAAATAGGACATGGGTTGCAAGCGATATTTGACAGAATCTAGGGCTCTAAACTTAGGACATCTAGGACATAGGGTTGCCAAGTCAAAATGTCTTACTGGCGGGGGAGCCTCGCCGAGCTCTGGGAGCCATTCTTCGATGTGTGCGTGCGCATGAAGCACGTGCATGCCGCCAGCACATCACCAGAATCGATGCACAACATCAATCACGTTGAAGGCATGGCCCCGATCGTCGGAGGGAAAACCATAGAGTTTTCCCTCTGGTGATCGGGGCCATGCCCCCAATGTGATTGACGTGGTTGCATCACCTCTGGTTGCATCACAGCAGCGGAAATCGGGCCTCCGAAGCGGGGGTTTACCCGCCACCCACCCCCACTTGGCAGCCCTAGGCGTACAAGGGTCAAAGCCTTCCCCTGGAGTTGCTTCCCCGCGTGGGAACTGACATGTCGTGTTATTCTGCCTCTGAATGTGGAGATCCCATTCTAGCCATCATACCTAAAAGCCACAAATGGACGTGAATTTGTCCCATCCCCTTTTAAAGTCATTACCTCATCCCACAGCTGTGAATTCCACAAGTTAACTATACGTTGTGTTCCTCATAGGCATCCTGAATCTACAGCCCATCAACTTCACTGGGTGCCCCAAAGGGGTAGCAATATGGTACAGGAAGAAAAAGTTCTCTCTCGCCTAATTCTCCATGTAATTTCATAAACCCCTATTATGTCCTGCCTTAGCCACCTATTCTCTAAACTTGTGTGTTTTTATCTGACCTTTCCTTACAGAAGCTTAGTCTGGCATACATCATTTCGCCCCCACTATTTTATCATCACAACAACACCTAGGAGAATGAGTTAGGCTGAGAGAAAGTGACTGGTCCAAAGTCACCCTCGTCAGAGTAAGGATTTGAGCCTGGGTCTCCCAGGTCTCCTAGTCGGACAGTCTAACCACTGCACCATACTGGCAGTCATGGGATTGCCCCAGAAACAGACTACAGTGAGCCACCAGCAAGACGTTACCATTTACATTACTCCTCCAGAGCCAGCTTTTAGTCTTTCCCAAAATGCTGGATCACATGTTGCATGCACACAGGCACTATAAATAGACAAGCAACATGCAGGCAATTTTAAGATGAGGAAAGGAACATCTTGTCTCCAGAAGAACATCATATCTTCTTCAATGTAAATACGGCAAGAGTTTCCAGGGCTAATGTCCCAAACAAATTCTACTTGGCAAGTCCCTAGGGGCACTAGCGATTACCATTAAAAAAGATAAATCTCAGCCACCAAGCTTTAACTACCACAGCCTGGATGGGACCGAAAGCGGGACAGGCAAGCAGCGGGACATGGGCTAGAGGGATATCAGCATTCCATAGGGGCCGGCCAAGGCAACACACCAAGGCAAGGAAGGGAAGGAAACAAACACAGGAGTGGGTGCGGGTGAAGGGATGAAAGGTCACTGCCACTGGATCTGAAGCAACTTTCCTGTCAAACATTCTCTTCCCTGACTTTTGATCCTGAATATTGCTGCTGAAGGCAGCCATCATCATAAGATAGGGAATAATAAATCAAACAGAAAAACTCAACCAAATGAAATGACCGGTAGCTTCCAGAATCCAGCCACAACACCTTAAAGGGGTGGGTGGGGGGCAGAGTTCCACAAGGGAATTGCCACTGCTGAGAAGGCCCTGCCTACTTTAATCATCCACTTGCCCTCCAAGATCAGGGACACCTGGAGAAGGACTTCCCCAGAAGACCTTACTAGATGGGTAGGTTAAAAGTGGAGTAGGGAACCCTTCAAATACCCTGGGACCAATGCTCCCTCTAAGCCGTGGGGTCTTGTGTGAAAAAATTCTACTTTGTGAGCGACTGGCTATTAAAGTTGTGAGCGAGCAATTTGGCTACTGCATAAATTAGTCTGTTCTGGAGCCATCCTTCCTGAGCTAAGACAAAAGTGTGTGAGCCGGAGGCTAAAAAATTATGAGCTAGCTCACACTAACTCAGCTTAGAGGGAACACTGCCTGGGACCAGATATTCTGGGCGGCAAGGATGCTTTTCCCTAGTGCATTCATGGATTTTAAAAGTAAGGGAATGCATTCGCCCAATAAAATACTTTAGTATTTTAAAGGTTTGAATTAGAAGTTGACATGTAATGGAATTTGGGATCTGAGAATGTTTGATTGCTGGCAGCTTAATGAGATTTAGTATTTAATGTCTGCTTGGATCAAAACAATCTAGAGCTGCCAACAAGAAGCTCAACACTGCAATCCTATGCATAGTTAAGTGGAAGTAAGCCCCACTGAATACAGCAAGACTTATTTCTGCATCAGGTTGTGCTATAAGACACTCAGTGGTCAGAAATCCCATGTGGTATAGTGCTAAGAGGGTTCAGGATCTGGAAGACCCCACTTTGCCATGGAAGTTTGTTGGGTGACCTTCAGCCAGTCACACACTCTCAGTCTAACCTACCTCACAATGTTGCGAGAATAAAATGGTGAGGAGAACATTATAAGCTGATTTGGGTTCCCAGTGGAGAGAAAGGCAGCTTATTAAATGATGTAAATAGTAAGTAATATACAGACAATGTATGAGGTAAAATCTCACATTCAGCACTTTGAATGTTAAGTATTTATTTTTAGCTTTTAAAGTTATTATATTCATAATCTTGGTGAATTTTAAATATTTGTTTTTTAAAAAATTTTAAATACTTATTTCTGTCCCGCTTCAGCTCAAAAGACGGCAACAACAGCATTGCAAAATGAGTTATTCTAATACAACATACCCTCATTTATACTTACCGATACTGACAAAATTGCCTGCGTAGATCCTATTCAGGTAAAAGAAAAGAGAATAATTATTGTAGATCTGGGAAGAATTCACTAACTTCTCCTGCGCGAGTCTCATTGTAATGCATTGGAACTGCAGAAAGCATACTCATACAACTAGCACTGCGTTGAATTAGTTTCATGGGGTGCACCCAAGAAGTAGAGTTGGCTTTGCCCACTGGGGGTAGGAGTTCTCCAGCCACAGTGGGCCTTTCCCACTGGCACTCCAGCAGTCTTCAGGAGAGAGAAAAAATGCAGTCAGTGACAGTGTGACGTCACTTTCAGGAGAACCCAGATGTGATGACACACTTCTCTAAGAATTGCCAGAAACTCTGTGATAAAACCCAGAAGTGATGTCAGTCTACCCTAGGAATCACTGAAAGATCTATGGTTTTACCATAGTGTTTCTGGTGATTCCTAGAGAGGTGTGATGACCAGTGTTCCCTCTAAGCTGAGTTAGTGTGAGTTATCTCACAGTTTTTTAGCATCTGGCTCACACATTTTTGTCTTTGCTCAGGAAGGAGGGCTCCAGAGCAAACTAATTTATGCAGTAGCCAAATCGCTCGCTCACAACTTTAATGCCAGTAGCTCACAAAGTAGAATTTTTGCTCACAAGACTCCGCAGCTTAAAGGGAGCATTGGTGATGACACCTTTTCTCAGAAGTGAGGTCATGCCATTGCTCACATGTCCCCCCTCCCTGTCTCCTGCTGGTTGCCATGCCAGACTTGGCAACCTCAACAAAAATTTACTATTGGGCTGATCTTATTTATAAAGCAACAGCCACATGCTTTCTTGGCAGTAGGGTTGCCAGGTGCCTCCTGGCTACCGATAGGAGGTGGGGGGGCACCAGGGAAGGTGTCTGAGGGTATCATGGCAGCAACTGGCACCCTGTCGGGGACCCTTGGTCTAGAATGACAGGCAGTGGTTGTCCAGCATCTCAGGCAGAGTTATTTTGCATCACCTACTACTTGGTCCTTTGTAACTGGAGACAGATGGGCTTGAACCTGGGATCTTCTGCATACAGAGCAGATGCTCTACTACTAAGCCACAGCTTTCTCTGAAAGTGCCAATAAAATGCCCCTGTCACACGGGCCCCGGTCACACGGCAGGAAACTGCAGCAAAGGAGAATTTTTGCTCACAAGACTCCACAGCTTAGAGGGAGCATTGGTGATGACACCTTTTCTCAGAAGTGAGGTCATGCCATTGCTCACATGTCCCCCCTCCCTGTCTCCTGCTGGTTGCCATGCCAGACTTGGCAACCTCAACAAAAATTTACTATTGGGCTGATCTTATTTATAAAGCAACAGCCACATGCTTTCTTGGCAGTAGGGTTGCCAGGTGCCTCCTGGCTACCGATAGGAGGTGGGGGGGCACCAGGGAAGGTGTCTGAGGGTATCATGGCAGCAACTGGCACCCTGTCGGGGACCCTTGGTCTAGAATGACAGGCAGTGGTTGTCCAGCATCTCAGGCAGAGTTCTTTTGCATCACCTACTACTTGGTCCTTTTTAACTGGAGACAGATGGGCTTGAACCTGGGATCTTCTGCATACAGAGCAGATGCTCTACTACTAAGCCACAGCTTTCTCCGAAAGGGCCAATAAAATGCCCCATACTTAGTTGAGCAATGAGTTAGGATCTAATCCACTGCTTTAGTCCATATATATTGCTGTGGACAGTACATTTTTCAGAAAAGGAATGTCTGGCACCAGCCAAAGGTAGGGTCAGCCTGACCTCTACACAAACCTGGATGATTGCCTAGGGCTCGAGAGTTAGGGGAGTGCCAGATAGTCTGTGCTGAGTGGAGGCAGCACTGTCTTAGTACCATTGGCCTATGTAGCCTAGGGCTGCCAACAAGCTAAACTGTCCTGCCCTTTAACAGAGGGTCATTGGGATGACTTCTCACTTTATTCTCTAATGAATGGGCCCTACTTTGCCTAGAGCACTGAAACCTCTTGGGCCAGCTCTGAGAACTTCTGTGCATGGAGGATATTCAGGGAGGTGGCTGAATAAAGTCTGCCGCCGCCTCTGGTATTCCAAGGAGGACTCCCATTCAAGCACTTGCCAGAGTCGACCCTGCTTAGCTTCTGAGATCTGATGAGATCGGGCTTGCCTGGACTATCCAGGTCAGGTCAGGAGAAACATCTTTGTGGATATCAAAGGAGGCTAAACTACCTTTAAGATTTGCAAAATTTCTGGGATGTTTGTGCAAGCAGATCTTTAGAGTCAAACATTGTCACCTGCTCTCTTCTCCCTCCAGCATTGTCTTGTATGTAGCAATTTCAATATCCAGGGCCAGCTTGGTGTTCAAAAGCTCGTGGTAGTCCTTCAGCAAGCGAGCCAGGTCATCCTTGGCCTTCTGTAGTGCTGTTTGCAGCTCGGTTTGCTTATCCCGGGCATCTTTAAGAGCAACGTCACCACGCTGCTCAACATCACAAATGGATGACTGCAAACAATCAACCTGTCAAAAAAAAAGAAGCCCACAACTGAGTTGATTCAGAGGAGAAATGGCACCTGTATACATGTGTTAAGTCCAGGGGAACTCATTAGCATAACTCATTAGCATATGCCACACCCCCTGACATCATAAGGCCCAGCGGTGGACCTGCAAGGCCGGTGGGAGTGCGAGGAAGCCCCGCCAAGTCCCTCCCTGGCCCCAGGCAAGCAGGGGTGGGGAGAGCCGGGGAGGAAGCAACTTACCCTCCCTCTTCTCCTGCCTCCTCCTGGCTGAATGAGGGCTGGAAGCAGGGCGGCCGGAAACAGGGGGCGGGGCTTCACAACATGGATCAACATCTGATAGCCAGAACAGCTTTTACATTGCAGCTATCCTGCTTTTAAACTCTCCCGGCTAATGTAGCCACGCCTACTGTACATTTACCAACCAATAAGGTTGTATGCATAAGGACCAATCACGGATGTTCCCACTCAGGGAGCTTGCTGACAAGTGATTGGTTGGTTCTTCCTGGGCTATCAATGCGATTGGATGGATTTGGATCCTCGCCCAGGACGAAGCTTAACATTGTACTTCAGTTAGATGATTCATGTATTGCAATGGCAGCTATTGAATACATTACAACATGTTATCACAGTAATAAGTGTAAAGCAATGACCTTAATGAATGTCAGCAAATAAATTCAGAACCTGATTTGGCCATATCATGATGTCACTGAGAGCAACTGAGAGCAACAGTGATTGGGCTCCTTTTAATAAATAAGCATATTTATTTATTTAGCAAATAGTACTGGGAAAACTCCAAAATGAGGAGATATGTTTCAATTCTGTGGGAAAAGGTCCACCCCTCAGAAATGACAAGATTATTTCAGCTACATTGTACTAGGATATAGCCATCAGATCCAGAGAAGAAACAATATATGCCATGGTCTGGCCTACCTGCTTCTTCACTAAGTCATGTTCAGACTGCAACTTATTGAACAACCGGGTCAGATCAGCAATCGCGTGTTGGTTGATCTTCAGATCATTAGAATATTTCCCTTTCTGCTGCTGAAGCTCTAGGAACTGAGATCCGGAAACAAAAAACAGGCCTGTTACTAACATTTTTGCTCAAAGTGAATTTTGTGGGTACTTCCTCCAGTGAAACACATGAAGACTTTTTGATAAAAGTCCACGAGTTTCAGTGAAACTAGCAAAATTTCTCAAGGTTGAGTTTCTGCACATACCCAGCTTGTCACCAGGTTTCAACTGAAGCAAATGTTGAAGTGAATTTAGACATTCCTTCTCAGGCAAAACGTCTGAGGAATTCTGAGAAAACCCAGTGAACTCTGGCAGTGAAAAGGCAGTGAAAGTTCTTGGGAATGGGACAAGGTTCTCATACATCCTATATCTTAGTTGTTATGGCAAAGCACAAAATCACAGCAGCCGCTGGAAATCACAGTTCAGCAGCCAAAGTAGGAAAATGGAAAACACCCCAGGAAGAGCTTAGGTATCGCTTTCCCCATAATGTCCCTGTGCTGTTCACACCAAGTAGCCAACAGCTGAGATTGTACAAACCCGAACCAGGGCATGCCTCTTGAACCACTACAAATACGTTCGTTGTGTGCTGTGGCAGTGGATGGACTCGCTAGATGAGAACATCCAAGAACAGTGCACTCCTAAGCACAGTTACACCCTCCTAATCCCACTGACTTCAATTGACCTGGGAAAGTGCAACTCTTTTGAGGACTGCCCTGCAAATAAGTGTAGTGCAGCTGTGCTCTTTCCTACCCTGCTTTCGTATAAAGCATTCGCCTCTTCTTTGCTCTTCTGGGCGATGCTCTGATACCAGGCTTCGACATTTTTGATAATGAGGTCAGCATCTATGTTTCGGCTGTTGTCCATTTGCAGAAGGATGTTTGTGTCGCAGACATGACAGTCTAGCTGTGCTAGCTCCTGCAAGGCAAAAGTTTGTGTCAGAATCAGGTGTCCAAGAAAGTCCATTTCCTTTCCATCCCTTCTGTGGTTGGTTTACTAAAAGAGAAAATGGGCTGAAGCAACTGAGTGCTAAACTGAGACCATGTTGCCAAATGAATAGGGGGTGCCTGTGGTTAATCAGTGGTAAATGGCAAATTACTTTCTACACGCTCCATGTGCTGGCAACCCTCCTGTGATTACAAAAGTCCCAGCCCACTTAAGCCATGAGTGTCAACCTACTTATTCCCATTGACTAATCTCCTGCATCTCCTGATCATTACAGACTAGTTATATAAATTTGTTTAAGACTTGGCACCCAGATTTGCTCATTTTTAACTTCCCTTCCCACTTCATGCTGTTTATATTACATTGGATCCTTTGGTAAATTTCTGCTAATGGATGGGTGGTTTTGCCCAGTTGCCCTCTGCGGCTGCAGACCTCCAGGTTGCTCTTCATCCTGTTCTTGAGGGTCCCTTGTGCCGCACCCCAGAAGTAACATGTCAAAGATCATTTGGGGCTGCAGTGGGAGGGGCAAGGTGAGGAATCACAGATATGCTTTCTGTGAGCAGAGATGCACTGTGGGTAGGGGGTTGGAATGGCCCCTTCCAACGCTATCATTCTATGATTCAAGGCAGATAGTAGGCAGTTATATTGAATTGTAAACCGCCTTGGATGCACGAGGCAGATTGTAGGCATATTGAATTGTAAACCGCCTTGGATGCAATGGCAAAAAAGTAGCATATAAACATGTTTAAGAAATAAACATATAAATATATGCTCAGAAAAGGGGAAGAAAAACATCCTTGTGATCTTTTTTTGCTAATTCTGTGAGGCCTATTTTGTAAGTTTGGATAGATATTCCCGTTACCTTCCTGTTACCAGAGATAACTCTGTTCCCACAGTCACTAGGATGCCCCTTTAGAGACACCTCCAGCTAGGTGAGAACTGCAGTTCTGAGAGCCTTCCCTGTGCAATGGGACACTGCCCATATGGGTGGGGATGGAGATCATGGTGGCAGAAGTGTGTGAGGTCAACTGTGGGAACAGTTTTGGGGCTGTGAGGCAGGACCGTGGGGCAGTGAGGTAGGGGTGGTAGCCTCAGATAACAAAATCCTCCGAGCCTCCACTGGGCACAGAGGGCCACCCTGAATCACATTTACAATCTTCAGAGCCTGAAAGTCTCTTCACCATAGGATTTCTGTGGTTCACCCTTACCTCTGCATGGACACATCTACGGAATTCCAGCTCCCGACTCAGCAGATCCACTTTCCCCTCCAGCTCTGCCTTGCTCAGAAAGATACAGTCCACATCCTAAAAGAGGGTTTAACAGCCGATTCAACAGGATAGACCAAGTGTAGCTAAGAGCAGGGGTCTTGTTGTAGAAAAAGAGCTGCCGGAGCTCATTAGCATAACTCATTAGCATAACTTATTTGCATATGCCACACCCCCTGACATCACCGGAAGTGTGTCAGAAGGCCCGGCTACTTACCCTCCTGCTTCATCCTCATTCCCAAACGGAATGAGGATCGAAGCAGGGGGCGGGGTAAAGAAGGGGGCGGGGCTTCACCACGTGACCGCCCCGCCCCCTAGAGGTTCTCTTCCGGAGCTCCGTACCTGAGAGCTCCCCCCCGACTAGAGCCCTGGCTAAGAGTGTAGTGGCAAAGACAGCTGAAGCTTGAAGAGATTCTGAACAAGCATCTAAATCATTTCATACATCTGGGAAGCAATACAAAAATATTGCACTTTTTTGTACAATCATGTATATTATCCACCAATAAATTATACAACAGGAAGAAATTTGCTCCTGTACCCCCAGTTCTCTGCAAATGTTGATGCGGAATATTCTCTGGGTGCATGAATAATATTTGATGTTTGGTTGCAGTGGTATTTGACAGGTGGCTGGCAGTATAGGTCCATCTTCATCAATGGCAGAGGGAGCAACGTAGCAGTGGCATTGTAAGCAGAGCTCTATACCCTTCAATGCCCATTTGGTGGATTTGAAAGGCTGTAACTCTGTTTAGGTTGGCTCAGTGGGTCTCTGACAACAGACATGCGATAAGTAATCAGTCTTTAATATGTGGTGACTGGCATGTAAATGTATTTAGTAAACTGTTTATTTAGTCTTTTAGCTAATCCTTGCCCTGACCTGGATAGCCCAGGCAAGCTTGATCTTGTCAGATCTTGGAAGCTAAGCAGGGCCAACCCTGGCATGTATTTGGATGGGAGACCTCCAGTCCAGAGCATACCAGGGCTGGGAGGCAGGGGCAGACTATCAAGCCAATTCTCTGAATGTCCTCTGTGCCCCAGTAGGGGTCGCCAGAGGTCACAATGATTTCCAGGTACGGACACCCCGCCCACACACACACACACACAAATGCAAAAATACCAAAAAACAAAACAGGCTAATTTCAAGGACAATTTCTTATTGCAGAACTTCTGACATTTCAAAATCCTGCAAACTTTCAGTTCTATTGAGAATGTTGCTTTTCTATGCAGGGAGGAGAAATTAAAGAATCTCCAGGGAGGTGAACACAAGCCCCTTATAGATGACATTAGGTGGACTAAAATCAGTGTGTGTATAGGGGTGTGGGCAGAAGTGGAAGGCCCACACCCCTGCCTATATGTGATCACCGGCTTGTCAGCACAAAGTCTATGAGCACAGGGAATGTGCATGTGTGGTTGGGGTGCTGCTTTGTCCGGTCCAAGGAAGGGAGTTTATGTACACTTCCTACTCCTGAAGACTTTACACTTGCAAGTGTTTCCCTACTTAACCCTGCTCCCATTTTGCCCTCCAGGCACAAGCCCAAGTATAACACAAGGTACAACAGAGAATGTTTGTGTTTGAAGCCCACTCTCCGTTCCATTTATCACCATTATTGGAGCCAAAAAAAGTCTTCCTTACCGAAGGTATACTTCACAGTTAAACAACAGCCGTCAGACTTAGTCAAAGCCAAGAAGCTCCAGTTTGCCAGTGACCAGTGGGAACTATTGATCAGGGCATCCAGGTCAAATGATTGTGGAAAAATTTGGGGCCCTAATTTCTGGCGCTTCTCGGGGGAAATTAATTTCATCACCATCAATTCCCTCCCATACCTGGTTTTCATATTTCTGAAACCTTTTTAATGAAAATGGTGCAAGTTTTCCCAAAACCACAGAATGTGATTCCCCTGAGACCCCCGAGTGGCCACCTGCGTCTCCTGAGGATATTATTACCCTGATCACTTATCTCAAACCAAAAAAAGCTCCTGGCCCTGATGCAGTCTCACCCAGAACTACTGAAGTCTCACCCAGAATGGTGGGCGCCTCCTTTGTCTGCTTTATTTTCCTTAATAAATAACACTAGAATAATGCCAAAGTCATGGACAAACACAATCATTGTCCCTGTTTTGAAAAAGGGTGATCCTTCCTCTCCCGAAAATTATAGACCGATCAGCCTTTTACCAGTAGTTCGCAAACTTTATGCCAAACATCTTCTAATTAAACTAGATGGATGGATGACTGACCATAACATTCTAGGACCAGAACAAATAGGATTTTGTCGGGGAAAATCTACTCTGGACCACTGTGCAGTACTGTCACACCTTGTTACTAAATACAGTGGGAAACCAGGCAATAAGCTTTTTGCTGCCTTTTTAGACCTTAAGGTGACGTTTGATTCAGTCCCAAGAGACCTCTTATGGGACAAGAGGACTAGAATGAATATAGATCCCAGACTGCTTTTTTTAAATAATAATTAAAAAAAAACCTATATACACATACCAGTTGTCAGGTTAAATTCAATCTACAGGGAGATCTAACCCCCAAAATCCCTATTCACAAAGGTGTAAAACAGGGTTGCATCCTTGCCCCTTCACTTTTTAATTTGTTTCTAAACGACCTAGCTCCATCATTGTTTGAAATTGATGGGCATGTTCCCAATATTGGCCAACACCATATCCCAGTTCTTTTCAGGGCTGTTTTTGGGCAGGAACGCACAGGAACGGAGTTCTGGCTGGCTTCAGAGTTGGCCACGCCCACTACAGCCAAAATCTCTGCGTGCACGGCTACAGAGGGAAGGCCTGGAGAGCAGTGTTCCCTCTAAGCTGAGTTGGCGTGAGCTAGCTCACAGTTTTTTAGCCTTTGGCTCACACATTTTTGTCTTCACTCAAGAAGGATGGCTCCAGAGCAGACTAATTTATGCAGCCACCAAATCGCTTGCTCACAACTTTGATGCCAGTAGCTCACAAAGCAGAATTTTTGCTCACAAGGCTCCACAGCTTAGAGGGAACATTGCTGGAGAGCGACCCCCCCAAGCGACTCTGAGGCGGGGGGGCCAGGAGGCCCCCCGGGAGGGCGGGGAAGGATTGGGGAGGCATTTAAATGCCTCCCCGTGCCTTCCCCAGCCTGTCCAAGGGGCGGCTTGCCCAGGTTTCTCGCAGCCATGGGGCGCCCGGGCAAGCCAAGGGAAGGCAGCTTAAACTGCATTCCCTTCTCTTCAAGGGGGGGCTTGCCTGGGCTCTCATTAGCCGCTGGGCACCCGGGGAAGCCAAGAGAAGACATGGGGTGTGGCCTAATATGCTAATGAGCTGTGCTGTCAGGGGTGTGGCCTAATATGCTAATGAGTTCCTGCTGGGCTTTGTCTACAAAAAAAGCCCTGCAAAGACTGATTATGTTCCAGCAACACAGAATCCTGGGAATAGCTGAGAAGGAAAAGGGTGGGGGAATAGAATTAGCTGGCTCAAGTTCCTAAGAATCTGAAGAATCCTGGAGGGGATTCCCAAATTATACTCCTCCCACAGTGATGTCATTATCTCCTTATACATTGCTTCCTACTTATTTGACTGGTGTTGACAATGCAAAACATCTTAAATCTCTTGGCATGACATTGGGGGGGGGGCTGCATACATAAGGACCTGTATTCAGAGAAAAGATAATCCCCCCCTTAAAGGTGCCACTGGCAGGGGATGTAGGAGCAGGGATGCCAGATCCAGGCTGGGAAAGTCTTGGAGATTTGGGGATGGGGGACAATGCCAGAGAGCCCACCCTCCAAAGCAGCCCTTTTCTCCAGGGGAACTGATCTCTGTAGTCTGGAGATGAGTTGTAATTCTGTGGAATCCCCAGGTCCCACCTGGAGGCTGGCATCCCTACCCCCCTTCATGCACTTCATTTTCATATAATCTTTATGTAAAAATGTGTGGATCTATTATAGGAAGGGCAGCACTGGTGTTTTTCCCCCTTCCCCTGCAGCACGTCAGCAGTTTCAGATACGCCTATGGAAAGCGATTCAGCACCAGGCGTGAGGGTCTTTTTGCCACTTTCTGAATTGCACTGGGAATTCTGAGAGGATCAGACAGAGAGCCATCTATAAAAGCAGGGTTTTTTTTCTGGGGGAACACGCCGGAATGGAGTTCCAGAACCTCTTTGACAACATTCTTTTAACAATGTTTAAAAGTTCATGAGTTTTCAGTATACAGATTGAAAATTTCATTTCCCTCTTGAGAGTTCCGGCACCTCTTTTTTTTTTTTTTAAGTCCTGTATAAAAGTCTTTATAAGAAAGCAACAAGAACCCATGGTGGAAGACAAATGGTAGGGGTGTGGTGTGTGTTTTTGAGAGAGCTGAAGGTGATGTAATGTGGATACTGTCACTTCTGGTGTGTCACAAGCTTTTTTGTAGTGTGTCAGTGAGACAAAAGAAATAGGCATGTGCAGACCTAGTCTGACTCTCATTACAAGGTACAAAGAAGAAGAAATCATGATGATAAATTTCAGTGACCGAGACCAATGGCCATGCTTATCTCAACTGCAAAGTGTGCTTTGATTTGGTTCCTGTGGTAAATTTCCACTGACATAGGGGATTTCCATCAGTAGTATGGGACTTCCTTCACCTACCTCCCTGTTGCATTCCAAAAGGAGCTCCAAAATTTTGTTCCTGGGGGACAGGGAATCACCTGAAACACCATGAGGGGAGAGTCGGAAATCTGCAGTGGGGGAGGGGCATTGGCAAAGATCCTTTCCTTCCATTAGCAGAAATTATCACAGGCTCCCACCCATTATGTGGAATAAAAGGTAAAGGTTTCCCTTGCTCGAAAGCCAGTCAAATCCGACTCTAGGGCTGCGGTGCTCATCTCCGTTTCAAAGCCGAAGAGCCAGCGCTGTCCAAAGACGTTTCCGTGGTCATGTGGCCGGCATGACTAAGCACCAAGGCGCACGGAACGCTGTTACCTTCCCACTGAAGTGGTCCCTATTTATCTACTTGCAATTTCTTGCTTTTGAACTGCTAGGTTGGCAGGAGCTGGAACTAGAGACGGGCGCTCACTCCGTCATGCGGCAACTCGGGTCTCGAACTGCTGAACTACTGACCTTCCACAGCCTGCAGTTCAGCGTCTTAACCACTTGAGCCACCACAGCTCCTATTATGTGGAATATCCATGATCAAATTTTCCCAGGTTTTCTTTAACTTTAAAAAATTGAGGGGGGGGGGTTGGGCAGGGGTTAGTGAGTGATAACAAGGGTTTGGATTGGGACAATGTTGGGTAATTGGGGTAACAAGGAGAACCTATTGCCCACTGTGTTGTATCTCCTATGGCAGCCTGGGATACCCAACTTTCTTTCAGCCTGTGGACACCTTTGGAATTCTGACACAGGGTGATGGACACAGCCACAAAATGGCTGCCACAGGTGGTGGGGCACAACCACACAGAGGAAGCCCAAGTGGAGAGGAGGGATGATTTTAAAAATACACTGGGAAAGAGCAGCGAGAGAGAAGAAAACCAGCACTGTGGTGGCAGCTCCTGCTTGCTGAAACAATGTTATTTCAAACTGGACAGCCAATCAGATCTCCAATGGGCAATCAGAAACTCTGATGGGCAAGATTCAGAACACCAGTTAGCCCTGACCACTTTCAAGAAGCACTAGGGGAGTGCCAGAAAAAAGGGGGGGGCTCCATGATGCTTATGGGCACCATGTTAGGGACCCCTGCCCTATGGAAATCCCTCTCCCTGAGTTTCTCAGTTTGCAGTAGGAAAAAAGTGTATGCAGCGCTTTATTTTCCCTTAGTGGGCATAATAGTAGTTCAGGAGACAGAAGGGGGTTTCTAATGGGAGAACAACACAAGGAGCTAAACAACTTCTCCCCAGAATGCTAAACCTGCAGCTGCATTTTAATGTTAAAAATATTGCAGGATTCTCTTATATAGCGTGAGGTTTGGGTTTGAGTTTCAATAAGAGGCAGTGTCTCCAAACATTGCTCAAGAATTGCACTTGCAGTTACCCTATCCCAGATTGACAACAGTATCTACCAGCCAAGGATTGCTGGGCACATTCTGAGCTTCTCAGGTTCAGC